TCCTGTGGGGAAGGACACTGGGGAGTCCAACCTGGACACAGCCATCCAAGCTTGAGTCTTGTCCCAGAAAAGAAAAAAATGCTCACAAGAGTTTCGGGAAACTCTGCTTTGCTTTTTTTTTTTTTCCTTTTTTTTTTTCAGTGATATCTACTTCAGTGGGCATTCCTTTTCTTTTCCCCACTTGAAACATGACTTAATATTACATTTTTTAATTATTTTTCCCCATGCAAAAATAAGTAAATAAAAGATATAAAGTAGCGTATTAAGACACCAAAAGAGAATAAGCTAAATAAACAGAAAGAGAACTCATGGTGAATGGAAAGTAAAGTGAAGATCAAATGAAAACTCAATATGCAGACCTACGAAGCTTGTATATTCGGCTTGGAGTTGTATTTGGTTCTTAGGGAGGCATGAGCTTGTCACCTTCAGCTTCCTGTTGTGCTGTCATTGTGCGGGGCCCAGAGGTGTTCACAGACCTGCTTGGCCCACATAGCTGTCTGGTCCTTTCTCTAATTCCCCTCTCCCTTCCCCGACGGCTGGTCCGCAGACACAGACGTTCCAGCAGAGGACTCTAGGACCCTAGGAAATGGCAGAGTCACAAAAAGAAAGTTCCTGAGTTCTTGAATGACTGTGTGGAAGAAAGCTTCCCAGTGACCAGGGAAGCTTTTTTCACCTGTTGAAACTTTATGTGAATAATCTTCTGTTGTGTTTGAAATGGTTTGCTGAAGCAGTTAGCCTGTCTGATTAATGCGCTTTCTACTGTACTCTGAACGTCCTTGAGAACTATCAAAAGCTTGAGCAACGATCAGAGTTGTGTTGTCTGTAGCCTTCATCCTGCTGGATTTGTGACTTTGGACCTGCCCTGTGTGTCCCAGCTGGTGCCACGGGCCTCCTCGGGGCAACTATAGATTTCCAGTTCTGTCATCGAAGACTCCCTTGGTCTCTGACTATTGCCCTCTTTCTACTGCTGCTTATTTTCTGCCCATCTAGAAGTGGAGGATGATGTTTCCTCAGTTGATCAGAGCTTTTGCTCCAGCACTAGATATGCAGATTACCAAGGCCTCGCAGCTCTCTGCAGACAGCTTTTCCTTCCCAGCTCATTGCCTAGGATATTGTTTCCCAAGTTGTTCTGTGCAATGCTAGTTTAGCACATGATGTCAGTATATATGTGGGGACAAGAAAGGATTTTGTGGTCAAATGATTGAGGAAAAAATTGGATTAGATGAAGTTAAAGTTTTCTTGGCAGGCATGGTGGCGCATGCCTGTAGGACCAGCTCCTCGAGAGGCTGAGGCACAAGGGTCGCCTGAGCCCAGGAGTTTGAGTCCAGCTTGGGCAACGTAGTGAGAGTCTGTCTCAAAATATATAAATAAATAAATAAAATAAAATAAAATAAAACAAGCCAGGAACAATGGAAAAAAGTACTTTTCAACTTCTAGACTACTGATCTTTTCTGAAAAAACTTTTCTGTCACAGAAAATTTCATACACACACAAAAAACAGAGAAAAGTACAATAAACTGCCATGATGTAGCCATCTCCCAGCTTCCATAATTATAAACATTTTGCCGTTTTTAAAACAACTGAGGCATTCCTATGTTAGGGACTATCTGTCACAGTTTAATTTCAGGCAAGAAGAGAGTTACTACA